ACCAGTCGGAGTCCAAGCCTTCTCGGATCCGAGCGACTTTGTCATACAGATATTGTGCTACTGAGTCTGTGCAAAAAGGTTATTGAGTTAGAAGCTGGTTTCAGGTCTCTGGTCTGTCTCTGCTGTAAGAAGTCTTCATTTATGCTATGTTGCTATGAATAAGAATATATGGTATTGTAAATATTTTTATATGAATATAAAGAGTTTATTTGAATCAGCTAAATGCAGTCAACTGTGAGAGCTTCTGATTTATTTTTACCAACAGAGAAATTAAAATTCTCTAACAGGTTATGGGCCCAGAGCTTACTAAGGACTGCATTGTAATTTAAAGCTGGAAGAAATTGCCTGTGTTTAGAAAGTATAAAAACAAGGCAGAATTAGCAGAATGGCTGCAATGGAATTTAAGGAAAGCTCTGTGCCTCGTTTAGGGCAAAAGAATTACATTATCTGGGCAGCAAAAATGGAATGTTTGCTGAAAGCAAAACGAGCTGTGGTATATTGTAGAAAATCCCCCACAAGTGTTTGCAGCTGCTGATCAGAACACCCATGATCAAGCTATGGCTTATCTCATCTTGAATTTAGATGATGAACAGTTTCTAAATGTTGCAAATCTAAAGACTGCAAAGGAAATTTGGCTGAAATTAAGAGCTGTGCACGTGAATGTTTCTGCATGCAATATAGTGCAATTGTCAAGAAAACTTTACAGAGCCTGTTTGCAACCAGGTGAATCTGTGGAACAGCATTTAAATAAAATGCAATGTTTATTTTTGGACTTAGAACAACGTGGGATTAAATTTCCTGAGTCACAGAAGGTTTTATTGGTGTTGAACAGTTTAGATAAAACCTGGGACACAGTTTCTACAATATTTGAGTGCAAAGAAGAGAAGGACTTAAATTTTGAGGCTTTAAAGGCATGTTTGCTTAATGAAGAAGAAAAGCACAATTTCAGGAGTAGCCACGAGGAGGAGAAATTCCTGAGGAGGGGGCCCAGACTGCAAGTCTCCGGAGGAGAAGGAACCAGCAGCATATGGGACCAAGTTGCAACAAAAGAGCGATTTTGCAGACAGAGAGCTTTGCAAGGAAGGACATTTGTGCATGCAAAGAAGACTGATTTGCAAAAGGAACATTTTGGTGTTGCAAAAGTTTGCAATAGCAACAACAGAGACAAGTGGCTAATAGATAGTGGTGCAAGTCAAACAATTGTTAATGACTCTGAATTATTTTGCAGGTTTGTTCCAGTAGCACAAGAAGCTGTGGCTTTGGCAAATGGCCAGAAAGCAAAAGTCATTGGAAGAGGCGATGTAAAAATTCCATATTTGGAATCAAAGTTTACCAATGTGCTTTGTGTACCTGAGATGGAACATAATTTGTTAAGTGTGTCTAATTTAGACAAACAACGTTTTGAGACTATTTTTGTAAGTGGGAAGTGTCTCATCAAAAGGAATGGGAATATTTGTGCAGAAGGCATAAAGGAAGATAATCTATATGTATTGCAGGGACAAAAGGTTCAATGTTCCCATATATTTAAGAATGTTGCAGAGCATGATTCATGCGTTCATCTTCTACATAGAAGACTTGGTCATGCAAGCTTTAAAGTTTTGCAGCAA